TGAGACAGAGTCTCACTGTGTCACCTAGGCTGGAGTAGAGTGGCACCATCTGGGTTCACTAGAACCTTCACCTCCCAGGTTCAAGCGATTCTCAGGTTCAAGCGATTCTTCTGCCTCACCCTCTCAAGTAGCTGGGATTACAGGTGTCTGCTACCACGCCCAGCTAGAGGTTACTTTTTTAAAGCCAATTTGGGATCATGTTCTCAGATAACTGAAATTGAATCTTATGAAAAGGTGGGGTCTAGAGCTATAGATGTCAGGGTGATTTTTCTCCTGAAAGTGGGATAAGTTGAGGCTAGTTGTGTTACCTCTGCTAACAGTGACTCTAGGCCTTCCCTTTCCAGTGAGCTGGTCTCCAAGCCTGCCACCCATGGACTCAAGTTCCTCGTCACTGAATCTTCCTGTATGATGGGCCTTCAGCCCCACACCCAGGATGTTTGGCTGACTTACTTCATTTAATCTGTTACTTGATTCTGTTCTGTGTTCTTTTATTCTTTTTGTTTGGCAGGCTACAATTTTTAAGCATTTTAAATGTTTATTTTAAAATAAAACCCACTTAGATTTCGCATGTCTTCCATATCTTACTTGGTTTTATGGTCACAGTTCTAAGGTTATTCTCATGACAGTTTTAACTTCCAATTTTCTGGTATACAAAGAATGTGTCCTAAAAATTGGTTACACAGAGCCCATAAACAAGGATTATATTTGGATCACAACGTTTATTTTTGTCACATATACTGTAGTGTGATGTGTTTGTTCTCCAGTTGTATGATAAGGCTTTTGGTGTGGACTGTATACCCATGCTTTCCAGTGGAAATGTAATGCAGACAAACCATATATATAATTTAACATTTTCTAGTAGCCAATTTTTTTTTTTTTTTAACCTGGCAACTTTCATTTAACCTAGTAGCCACATTAAGTAAAAAGCATGTGAAATTAATTTTAATAATGTTTTATTTGACCCAACATAATCTGTTATTTCAACATGTAATCAACAGAAAAATTGAGATATTTTACATTCTTTTTAAAGATATTGAATCTTTGAAATGCAGTGTTAGTTTATTCTCACCTTATATCTCAGTGCAGTCTAGGCATATTTCTAGTACTCAGTAGCCACATGTAGCCAGTGTCTTTTGCATTGGGCAGTGCAGTTATATAAGTACTTTTGTAGCTTAGTGCTAGTAACATAGTTGTTGCTTTATGTGTAAATGTGTTTATTATTTTAGATACAGATTTCTCTAATTGAATACAATAAAAATATTTTAAAATGTATTTCCTTATTTTCTTTCTCTTAAAGGCCCTTCCTTCTTCCATGATTATAGTAGCAGTTTATTGTCCTGTGATAGCTGCTGTTTTTGTTGTTCTGAAGATGGTCAACTATCGACTACACAGAGCACTTGATGCTGGAGAAATTGTAGATAGGACTGCAAATGAGTTCACAGATCAGCGAGGCAAAGCTGAACAAGTCAACTGTTCAACCAGGAGAAAAGACAGCAACGGACCGAGGTAAGGAAACCTATATCACTCAGATTGTAATGATTTAGATTGTGGTATCTGTATAATGATGTGATTATTATGTTATACTTTTTTTTTTAAACATGGTTTTAAGTCAGTGTTAGATCTTAACACTGTGGATACAATGACAGGTACAGATTGTAATAGAACAGAGCTAAGCTAACTGGCATGTTCGGGACATTAAATCAATACAATATTTTTGGCCGCATTGCTAGACAGGTTAGAACAATACACTACTATATGATAGTTCACACTAAAGACCAAAACCAACAGCCTAAAGACATTATTGAGCATGGATAATAAATCTCAGTGTTTATTTTTATTTATACATATAAATGTATGTGTGTGTGTGTGTGTGTGTACACACACACACACACACACACACATCTTAAGCAGATTGTGATATTTTGCTTGACATTTATAAGTCATGTGCTTTACTTAATCTATTGTAAATTTCTTTCAATTATGTATTCTTACTTTAGAAACTTAGCTCTTTCTCTCCTAGATCTTTGCAAGACTGATTTCTTAGGATTCAACTGTGATTAGATGTCAACTCCTCCTGGTGGCTTTCCTTTTCCACCCCAGCTGAAGTGATCCCTGTTGCTCACTCACGTTCTGTAGCATGACCTTGGCCTTGCCACTTTCCACTTTCTCTTTTTGACAGAAGTATGTGCTTTATTCATAGTCAAAAGTTTGTGACCTTACACAAATAATAGGTACCCCTAACATAACTCTAGAAAAAGTTTTTTGGTGAACACTTGACATACCTCAAAACAATTGTAGTAGGTAGATGCTGTTATATCCCTGATTTACAAATGTGGAAACCAAGATGAGAAAGATCAAATAATCTAAGCAGTTGTTTCCACTGAGCATAATATGAAATATTTCAGATATCAAGGCATAAATAATATAACAAAAAGTGGGCACAGGTGATATCTAGGGCATGGAAAGCCTTTGTTTATTCTTTTTCAATCACATTTTTTTCCTTATTCTTAACATGAGTACCCTGTTTGTTAATTAAACACATATTTTACCCTTGTAATTTTTGTTTATTGCCTAAATCACTATCTGAAATTTTCTTTTTTTTGTTTTTGTTTTTTGAGACGGAGTCTCGCTCTTGTTACCCAGGCTGGAGTGCAATGGCGCGATCTCGGCTCACCGCAACCTCCGCCTCCTGGGTTCAGGCAATTCTCCTGCCTCAGCCTCCTGAGTAGCTGGGATTACAGGCACGCGCCACCATGCCCAGCTAATTTTTTGTAGTTTTAGTAGAGACGGGGTTTCACCATGTTGACCAGGATGGTCTCGATCTCTTGACCTCGTGATCCACCCGCCTCGGCCTCCCAAAGTGCTGGGATTACAGGCTTGAGCCACCGCGCCCGGCCAATTTTCTTAACATTTATTTGCATTTATAAACTTCTTGAAGGCAAGGACCTTGTTTTTCTTATAAACTATTATATTCCCAGGTCCAAAATCAGTGTCTGGCACTGATAGGAACTCAGCAAATATTTGGAGTAGTGAAAACAGTTGTTCTGTGATACTATGTTTAATGATGCACAGTATCTCACTGTGTGGATGTATTATAATTTATCCCATTTTTAATTATATCAATTACTTTGGAATTTTAATATTAGATAACTGTGATGTTTAAATATTAAATGATTCAATTTTTTTTTTTTTTAATTGAGATAGAGCCTTGCTCTGTCACTCAGGCTGCAGTGGCCCAATACTCCAGGTTTATGCAATTCTCTGCCTTAGCCTCCCAAATAGCTGGGATCACAGGTGTGTGTTACCACGCCTGGCTAATTTTTTATATTTTTACTAGAGATGGGGTTTCACCATCTAGGCCAGGCTGGTCTTGAACTCCTGACCTCATGATCTACCCCCCTTTGGCCTCCCAAAAATGCTGGGATTACAGGCGTGAGCCACCACTCCTGGCCTGAGTGTTTTACCATAGTTTTTCAGAGGTGGAATTACTAGAAATGCTATACACATTTTGAAGTTTTCCAATATTTATTGCCAAATTCCCAAGATTTTACCATTTAATGACTATGACCAGAAATTCAGCTGCCTTTTTTTTTTTTTTTTTTGCACTTTTGACAACTCAAGTATTTAGTATTTTGAAAAACTTTGATGTCTCATTGTTTAATATTAACATTTAAACAATTAAATTATTGTTTAATATTTCCATTTTTGAAATACTAGTGAAATGGAGGTATATTTCTTGTTATTGCCATTTATATTTGTTCTGTGAATTGCATATTTTTCTGCTGGTGGATTTTTGTTTTTGACATTGACTTTGGGACTTTTTTTTTTTTAAACAAAGGATATTAGCCCTTTTGTGTCAAATACTCTTCCTTGACTTATAGGATTTTATTTGTCAGTCTCTTTATATCCTGTAATTTATTTTTCTGTCATCTAATTTTGTATGTTTATTATTTCTTCTCTTGATAACATGTTTTCTAAGATTTTCCTTCCCTCAAATTACATAAACAATAAATTAAGGTCTTTGTATCTATATTCAGTATTTTTATCATTTTACTTTTTACTCTTAAATTGTAGTCAGTTTGAAAACATTAAACGTAATTTGTTTAGGTTTGTTTGTCACAACACCGTTAATTAAGTAATGAATTTTTTCCCTGTAAATTTAAATGGTTTCTTTTTTACGTGATATATTGTATATACTTACGCTAGTTTCTGAACTTGGTTTTCTGCTTCATCTTTCTGCCTTTTTTTGTTTATACCATGTTGTTTTTATCATAGTAGCTTTATAATATGCTTAATACTTAGCACTGTGAGTGACTCCAGTATTTTTCTTTTTTGTTATTATTTTGTTTTTTTGTGTGTTTTTTTGAGACAGAGTCTTGCTCTGTCAACCAGACTGGAGTGCAGTGGTATAATCTCAGCTCACTGCAACCTCCACCTCCTGGGTTCCAGCAATTCTCCTGCCTCATCCTCCAGAGTAGCTGGGATTACAGGCATGCACCACCACACCTGGCTAACCTTTGTATTTTTAATAGAGATGGGGTTTCATCATGTTGGCCAGGCTGGTCTTGAACTCCTGACCTCAGGTAATCCACTGGCCTTAGCCTCTTGAAGTGCCAGATTTACAGGCATGAGCCACAACACCTGACTCTTTGTGTTATTAATTTGATTATTCTCATGCATATACGTACTTTTGTGAGATATCTTCATGTGTGCTCATCCTCCAAAAAATTCCATTAGAATTTTATTTTTTTCTTAAATATATATATATATTTTATTGCATTTTAGTTTCTGGGGTACATGTAAAGAACATGCAGGATTGTTGCATAGGTACATACATGGCAATGTGGTTTGCTGCCTCCATCCCCATCACCTATATCTGGCATTTCTCCCCATGTTATCCCTCCCCAACTCCCCACAGACCTAGTCCCCCGCCACAGACGTTAGTGTGTGATGCTCCTCTCCCTGTGTCCATGTGTTCTCATTGTTCAACACCCACCAATGAGCGAGAACATGCGGTGTTTGATTTTCTGTTCTTGTGTCAATTTGCTGAAAATGATGGTCTCCAGGTTCATTCATGTCCCTACAAAGGACGTGAGCTCATTGTTCTTTATGCCTGAATAGTATTCCACGGTGTATATGTGCCACATTTTTCTTATCGAGTCTATCATCAATGGGTATTTGGGAAACAGTGCCGCAATGAACATACATGTGCATGTGTCCCTATAATAGAACCATTTATAATCCTTTGGATATATACCCAGTAATGGGATGGCTGAGTCAAATGGAATTTGTATTTCTAGTTCCTTGAGGAATCGCCACACTGTCTTCCACAATGGTTGAACTAATTTATACTCCCACCAAGAGTGTAAAAGTGTTCCTATTTCTCTACATCCACTCCAGCATCTGTTGTCTCCAGATTTTTTAGTGATCGCCATTCTAATTAGCATGAGATGGTATCTCAGTGGGGTTTTGATTTGCATTTCTCTAATGACCAGTGATGATGAGCATTTTTTCATATGTTTGTTGGCCTCTTATATGTCTTCTTTTGAAAAGTATCTGTTCATATCCTTCGCCCACTTTTGAATGGGTTTGTTTGTGTTTTTCTTGTAAATCTGTTTTAGTTCTTTGTAGATTTTGAATATAAGTCCTTTGTCAGATGGGTAGATTACAAAAATTTTTCCCATTCTGTCGGTTGGCGATTCACTCTAATGATTGTTTGTTTTGCTGTTCAGAAGCTCTGGAGTTTAATTAGATCCCATTTGTCTATTTTGGCTTTTGTTGCCAGTGCTTTTGGTGTTTTAGTCATGAAGACCTTGCCTATGCCTATGTCCTGAATGGTTTTGCCTGGGTTTTCTTCTAAGGTTTTTATTATGTTAGGTCTTACGTTTAAGTCTCTAATCCATTTGGAGTTAATTTTAGTGTAAGGTGTCAGGAAGGGGTCCAGTTTCTGCTTTCTGCACATGGCTAGCCAGTTTTCCCAACACCATTTATTAAACAGGGAGTCCTTTCCCCATTGCTTGTTTTTTTCAGGTTTGTCAAAGATCAGATGGTTGTAGATCTGTGGCGTTGCCTCCAAGGCCTCTGTCCTGTTCCATTGGTCTATATCTCTGTTTTGGTACCAGTACCATGCTGTTTTGATTATTGTACCCTTGTAGTATAGTTTGAAGTCAGGTAGTGTGATGCCTCCAGCTTTGTTCCTTTTGCTTAGGATTGTCTTGGCTATGTGGGCTCTCTTTTGATTTCCTATGTGGTTTTTTTCCAGTTCTGTGAAGAAGATCATTTGTAGCTTGATGGGGATAGCATTAAATCTATAAATTACTTTGGGCAGTATGGCCATTTTTGCAATATTTGTTCTTCCTATCTATGATCATGGAATGTTTCTCCATCTGTTTGTGTCCTCTCTTATTTCGTTGAACAGTGGTTTGTAGTTCTCCTTGAAGAGGTCCTTTACATCCTTTGTTTATTATAGTATTATCTTTGTAGCAATTGTGAATGGCAGTTCATTC